CGTAAGCCACCAGGTGGGTGGCTGGAGTACATCTCGCAAATCTGTAGCGTGTGTTTGTTTATTTATTTGTGTGTTTTGTCTAGCCGGGAAACCAAGAAGCCACCGACCACCACTAGGGTGGCTTTGTGTGTGAGTTTGTATTTGTGTGTGTGTTATTTGGGTTTTTTCTTTGTAATATTGTAACCAATGCTAAAATAATAAAAGAAACTCGTAACCACCACCGTGAGTCGCTGTTGACCACCACTAACCGAGGTGGTAGTAGATAGTTCCTAACTAGGGAAAACCCTAATTATCCTAATGAAACCCTAATGGGCCTAAGGACTTGGATTTTGGGCCTAACTGGATTGTAATAGGTTGGAAACCCTAATTACGGTTTAGAAAACCCTAATTTTGGAATTATTAGTTTGGACTTATCGGGACCTGCATTTTGGACCATTGGAGTGAAGTTATAACTCAAGCCTGATTTCATTGTATGTTTGGACTTACTGGATTAAGTCCTTATCGGGTTAAGTAGGAACACTTAATCATAATCGTCATTTTATGTGAAAAACCCTAATTGGATTTGGGTTCTTATTAGGCCACTTATTAGACTAAGCTGCTCTGGGCCTTTGTGGGCTAATAATGGACACAATTATGGACTAAGGAGATTATTGGGCTTTAGGATAAGACCCATTAGAAAGGCTTGGGCCTAATTTGGAAAATTAGGTCATAGGTTGGGCCTTGGTTGACTATTAGGGTTTTGGGCCTTCAGGGTGTGAGTTTGGGTCTTGGTTTTGAACCAAGCTAGGTTAAGGGTAAAAGGGTCCATTTACCAAAAGTGTAGATTATGGTTGCGTATTAGAACCCAATCATTAATTGGGTGTCGTTTTGATGATTGACAGTTCGGGAACTTGTCAACCAGCAACTAGAGTTTTATCCACGTGACTTCAACAATGCCAGGTGAGTCTTCCCACCATACCAATGGGTCTAAGACACCAAGGTCGGCCCATTAATGTTATATGGATTGCTAGTTGGTTATGTGATATGTCGTTAGGACATTTGTATGGAAGTCCCAGGGGGGTTCTTGTGGTAGTATATTAAGACCATGAGGGGGTTTCTATGTCATTCAATATAAGTCCTTCCAGGGTTTCCATGGCTTCCTAGTATGTTTACTTGTTTAGATCGTATGATATTTCCATGATTAGTATAGACCGTGTGGAGGTTCTCGTGGCAATTAGCCAAGACCACGTGGGGGTTCCAGTGGCGGATAGTAAAGACCACGCGGGGATTTCCCGTGACATTTGTTGTAAGACCTTGGAAGGTTTCCAAGGCTTCCTTATATGTTTATATGCATGATTTGTGTAGTTGATATGATTTATGTGATTATGTGTATAAGACCTTGGAAGGTTTTCATGGCTTCCTTATATGATTGTTATGGCCTATTTGATTGATATGGTTTATGCGGTTATGTGGGGTATGCTCTAGGAAACTCACTAACCTTCGTGCTTAAAGTTTTATTTATTGTTTAAGGTATTATTGTTTTGGAAAGGAATGGCTTAATTTGATCGTAGTACACACACCCGTGTTTCCGCAATATATGATTTTGGGACAAACTCTAATAAATGTTTTACTTAATGATGATTTGAAATGTTTAAAAGAAATGGTATCAATGTTTTAGCTATATTAAAAATGAAATTTTTACCCCTGATTTTTGGGTTGTTACAAGTTGGTATCAGAACCTTGCTTTGAGGGATTCGGACATACTTTCGGGGGTGTCTGAACTCAAACTGAGAATTTGTAAAGCTTTCAAAATGAAACATTGTTAGAACAAAGTTCTATTAGGATCGTATGATTCTAAGCAAGATATAAAATAAGAACGTAACAAGAACACAAGTATTGCGCTGAATGTGTCGAATGATTAATGCAAATAACACCTCAGAAGAGCTCGATAAAGAACTTCAATCTGTAGAGGCGTTTAGGGTTACAAAAATCAACGTAATGAAAACTTATTAATATACGCATACATGCATGCATATATATACTATAACCCTAGCAATCAATCTAGATAACTATGTAACTAATCTAGATAGACACGGATGGACAGGCCCAATCCGGATTACAAAATAGTTTGCCCAAGACGCAACACAAATATATTTTACAATCTTCCCCTTTGCATCCTTGGAGCAGAAACTTCATATTGTCTTAACAACAGAAGGTTTCTTCACGGTTTTAAACACCTTCGGTATAATGGCCAGAATATTATGTCGAAACGTAATATACCACCGAAGCATGTCTGTGAAGTTCTTCTTGTCAGCCACTGAGTCCTGCTTGCATTGATGAATTATATTTATGATATGCTCCAAGCAATCTGTTGAAAACAGATGCTTATCGACCAAAGCGAACAAAAAATTGTGTCTATCACCTTTAGTGAACATAACTGTCAGATTTGTTGAATCAATTTGCCCCAATTTCATTTTGTTCACATCACTAGGCTTAGACGTCGGCTTCACAGTAGGCTTTCTGTTCATAACCTTAGCTATCTCCTGATCCATGGTTGCTAGCTCATTAATATAGGAGGCCAACATTCTCATAATGTGTTCAAGAATCGGCTCATACTCCCTGGGATTAGAGAGCATAATTTTGTATAGTAGAATCCAATCGTGTGGATTAAGGTTGGGAAGATCTACCAGAGAGATAAAAGACTCCGTGTTTGTTGAACCACGGTTGATCTTGAAATTGACATTGATAAATCTCCCTGTAGATAAAGGTTTCAGTACCTTGACTTTAGTAATTTTCTGTGCGCTCCAAGTCAAGTACTGCGGTTGACCATTCTTTAAATAAAAATCTATCATCTCTCTATCAACCTTAGAATGTGGATATGGGACCTCAACAGTTGCCTCAAAGCAATGGAAAGTGAATGCTTTTCTGGTTATGGGCATGTCAAACTGCGAGTCTCTAGAGTTTTCACAGTCAAACGAAGCAATTGGTTCCAACCAATAGACAGATGGAAACTCAATCGCCTGATTGATAAGTGTATCTTTGTCCCATTCTAGAAAAAGAGCCTTCTTGCACTGCAAGGCCTCTTCGACTTCCTTATTCTTCTTCTCTCTTTCTTCAGCCTCTCTGGCTACTTTTATGGTTTCATCCAACTCTCTGTCTCTTTTCTTCCTCTTGAGAGCATCTGCGATAGTCTCTTCTTCTGTATGACTATTAGTTGGAATGTGAATCTCTTTCTGTTTCAGCTTTTGCTCAGAAACCGAAGCTAAATTAA